ATAGATAGATAGATAGATAGATAGATAGATAGATAGATAGATAGATAGATAGATAGATAGATAGATAGATAGATAGATTTCTGTTCCTTGAGTGTGAGAGAGATTGTCCACATATACCATTGTAGGAAGTTAAAACCCATCCCTCTCCTAGAAAAATGAAATATCCTGGGAAACATTGAAAAGGCAGAATATTATATTTGCCTGGATAAGAAATGGAGAAACATGTTTTTAGGCAGGGAACAGACTCACCCTTAATAGCTCCTACCTTTGTCAATGGGCCATTAAAAGGCCTGAGCCAGTCTATTCTACATAACAAAGCTCCAGGGTGACGGGATTAAGACATGATAGTATTAGCCCTTTACCCATCTCACCATAGGACACCTGGGAAGAAGCAATGATCAACCAAACTTGGACTCAAAGCACAGCCTACAGAGTTGCCCCTGCATGGCCCCATGGGAGTCTGACAACCAATCAGAAGCTCAGGTTCAAAGCCCAGAGAGGGCATAAAACTAGGGACTTTCAGCATCTCTACCTCTTCTTCACCGAACATCTTGAAGCACGTGATTTCTCTTTCCTGTTCAGGAGCTCAAAGCATGTGGTCCTGACCACCATTAAACCACCTTTCAAAGCAGTCTCCATGTTTCCAGTGTCTTTTTCCCCACTTGGAATTGAACCCAGAAGGACATTACTTCCAACACCGTATTTGTTAGTATTAAATCATCTGTATAAATAATTAGAAGAATGAACCCTCCCTCCCACCGCCTTCCTGGACTTGCTTCTTGATACAACAAAACATACAGATGCAATTCATCAAAGCTTGACATTACAACAATCTATCCTAATAAAAATGTCCTCTGTGTATGCATTTGCATACCAGAGGTGGTATTCAGCAGTTTCTGACCAGTTCTGGAGAACTGGTAGTGGAAATTTTGAGAAGTTCGGAGAAGCCACCTCTGACTGGCCCCACACCCATCTATTCTCTGCTTCCCGAGTCTCAGCTGATCCGGAGGAAATGGGGATTTTGCAGTAACCTTCCCCTGGTGTGGGGAGGGAATGGAAATTTTACAGTATCCTTCCCCTGCCACGCCCATCAAGCCACACCCACATAACCAGTAGTAAAAAAAAATTGAATCTCATCACTGTTGCGTGCCCAGAAGATCTCAGGATTCTGAAGCAGCTGAACTAAGACTTCTTAAAATTTGAGAAACAAGTCTGATCGTGCATTTTGCAAGGAAAATGCCCTGCCCATATTTGTCTAGTTCTAATGTTTATATGCTAATCATAGCAATGTAGTCTTCTGTGATATTATTGAAAGATAACATAATCTAGCATTGTCCCTCATAGCTTTTTTTCCAATGTGAAGGTGTGATGATGTCTTTTTAAAGTTAGGAACTTAAAAACAGATATCGCCATTGGATTGTCATGGGTTGGGAATTATTTGTAATAGCTAGAGCAGTTGAAAACATCTATCTATCTATCTATCTATCCATCCATCCATCCATCCATCCATCCATCCATCCATCCATCCATCCATCCATCC